ATCATCATTTGATCATTATTGTTTATGATATTATTAGCCAACTCGTTTATAACTTTCCCTTTCATTTCCCTCTTTTGTATTTTTACATAATGTCATACTGATTTTTGTTTTCTAAAATCTCCATTTAGGTCGTTTACATCGTGTTTGCAAAATAAATTGATACTCATCGATTCGAGTAATTAGCGCAAAACTTTTGCCTTATGAATGATGCACCACCTCCAACTACAGCAATCACAACACCAACAACAAGAACAACAGCAAGTAGAGCAACAACAACAACAACAACAACAACAACAACAACAACAACAACAACAACAACAGCAGCAACAACAACAACAACAACAACAACAACAACAACAACAACAACAACAACAATGACAGCAACAACAACAATCAAAATATCTCTCTCAAAAATGCTGTGCAAAAACATAAGAAATCTTTAGAAAACACACGGGTCTGTATAGGTCTCAGAGATCGCTCTTACAGCCTACTCTTGTAAATGACGCTTTCACTTCAACGGCATGCACACCCACCTCATTTTCATTGTATAATAAATCGTAAAATATATTATAAAATATACACCAATTCTGTAACCTTACTCGTTTACTGTTTCTTCTCGCCCATTTTTAACTAAATTTTATATTTTCATCATCCTGCTCGCTGTCCAACATTCATTACTCAAGTCTTATTGTGTGCACAGCCTTGTTTTTGGTTGTTCTTTGTTTTGTTTGCGTGCATGATATTTTGGGGGGTGGGGGGTGGGGGGATGCAGGTTAGATAGTTTCAATCCACGGGGACGAGATGCATTGATCGTCTTATTATAAGTAGACGCACATTAAAATCATCTTCTCATCATATTGAGAGAAAGGTCATGCGATATCATACCGCCTCTCCTCCTCCACTCCACCCCTCCCAACTCCCAACTCCCACCCCCACACCCGCTAAAAAAAATATAACAATGATAATTTTGTTAAAACACGGACCAGTGTATCTGTAATTCAATATTTATACCCAAACGTTTTTCTTTGGTTTGCTGTAGCATATCCCCAAAGAGCGATCAAATTATGCTAATGGTCATTGCACTTTAAAATTACACAATAACGAAGCGTCTGGTATTTTCTGAAGGACACAGAATGCATTTTGTGGAAATAGAGTTCCCTTTGGGGGTCGGGAGAGGTTTGTATTACCACAGGGATTGTACCGTCGACTGTAATATACGTCTCAGTGAAGTGCTATTTTACGTTTTAGCATTTTTATTTTTTAATGTTTCATGAATCCAAACCCTGCTGAATGCATCAGAGAACCAGGGAACAGGGACTGTGTTAAGTGATGATTTTCATCATGGTCTCGATACTCAGTGTTTTGTTGTGTGTTTGCCGCTTATTAAGTTAGAATGGCGAAGGAAATAGACTATCAATTGCCAGGGACTTCGCTGGTTTTGTTTTAATTCGCTTTTTAAAAAATAGTCATGTGTCAACTCCTTCTTATGACGGTAGGCAGTGACCAGGATCTTTACCTCTTTCTTGCTCCTTCGCATGGATATATTGACGTGGTCGCCTTATTCTTGTTATTGTCGTGGGGTGCGAAGCGCATAACCGTCATGCCTCAGACATCGGTGATCCAATGTTTCATACATTTTAATTTGATTAATAAAATCCTTTCTGTCTTGGCCAATGTGTGGGAATTATTGGTGTCGATTAATTAAGCTTCCTCGGACAAATTCTGCAATTTGAAAAATAAAATGTTGATGTTTTCCGCCCAGATTAACACTATATAGATAATTAAGGAGGCGGGTTTTGATCCTGCTGCTAGGACTAACTCAGGCTGAGGGGAACAGAGCGTCACAGCAGATAGACTGAGACACTCGATTTATGAGAAAAAATCCTCCCGAGAGGTGAATCGAACTTGGGTTCCCTGTGTGCAATGGCGAAAAGCCTAACGGCTACACCAGAGATTCCGATCCAGTGTAGGCTATCTTCATCATCATCCAGTGCCAGATCTGCGACAGACATCGGCGATCGTGGTTCTACATTCATTCCTTTGCTCGGATGCTCTAAAAAAGCTACGTTTCCCTTATCTTTCCCTGTTACCCATTTGTTTAGGTTCCCCAAGTAGATTGTTCTGGGCCTACCCCTGCCTCGTTTGCCTTCAATTTTTCCAATGAGAGCTAGATGTTTAAGAACCTTATGTGTGTGCTATACGATTAATAAATTGTCCCAACTGTAATTTAACACCATCTGTCGTTTTCTCTGTCCAGGTTTGGCCATCGACTGGGTGTCTCGCCACCTGTACTTCACCAACATGGGTCAGTCCACGCCAGGTCTGGACGGCGCCGTGTACTCCTGGCACAGGCTGGAGAAGATCGCCCTGGACGGCTCGAGTCGCCGGACAGTAGTCACTGATGTGGACAGGCCGCGCGGGGTAGCCATTGATCTGGACAATGGGTGAGAAAGACGGCGTGTTCCACTTGTCTCTATGTTATTGTTGTTGCTGTTGTTGTTGATCTGGAAGATGATTTCTTCGTCGTCTTCGACGTCGTTGTTGTTGTTGTTGTGTTGTTGAAGACGATGATTTTGTTGTTGTTGTTGTTGTTGTTGTTGCTGCTGCTGCTTCTGTCGCTGTTGCTGCTGCCGATGATAATGATAATGGTTATGATCTTCTTATCGTTTTTGTTGTTGTTGCTGTTGTTGGTGGTGTTATTTCGTCTGTTAATGTTGCTGGCTGTATAGATGCTACTTTTTTGTCTTCTTATTTATTTATTTTTGTGTTGAGACTGTCTGTGTAGTTCTTTGCTGTTGTTGTTGTTGTTGTTGTTGTTGTTGTTGTTGTTGTTGTTGTTGTTGTTGTTGTTGTTGTTGTTGTTGTTGTTGTTGTCGTTGTTGTTGTTTTGGGTTTGTTGTTGTTGTTTTGTTGTTTTCTTTTAGGGGGGGGGGGAGGAGTTGCGAAAAGTTGAGAATGTTTGGTGGCCACTGAAGGATGGCGTTTTGGGGTCTTTTAGTTTTTAGTAAAGGAGAAATTAGTTGACTTCTGTGTCACGATGGCGTGCCAGTGGTATGACGTAGTAAGTTTTCAAATTTATTTTTGATACAGGTGCTTTTTATATCCCATTAATACAGTTTAGATAATTTAGGTGGTGGACTTCGACATTGCCCGTCAGTCAATCCAGGCTGAGAGGGACACAACGTCCTCACAGAAAGACCGAGATACTCGATAAAAATTACCCCCATCCGGGAAATCAAGTTCAAATCTTCAATATACAACGGTGGGGCCTCTTACTGCTACACCACAGACGATGATGTAATAATGATAATAGGGTTTGGGCATGCGTGGAATGGTATGGTGTGGTGAGACAGTAATATTATGGTTAGTGAAATGCAGTGGGGCCAGGGTTAGAACTAGGGTCGAAGCTAGACATAAATAAGAAGAAACACCTTTGCAAGTGTGTGTAAATCTAGATAGACTACATAAAAGGTAAGGAATCGCGATGTGTCCCACTCCCTTCTGTCCCCGTCATTATTCTGCGGAATCGACCAAGTCTTGCTTCATGAGACAGTCAAGCCAGGGGGAGATATAGACTTACTACCACTGTCAATTCGCTGATCAAAAGAATTACTTCACGTCACTCCAAGAAAGAACCCGGTTAACCCTTCATCGTTTCTTCTCCTCGCATCGTGTGGGGCCCAAGGGACTTACAACCTGACAGGATGGAAAGGGCAAACCAACGGAAATCAAATGGCTTTTTCTGTGTAGGGATTGAATTAGCAGAGTTGAGAGTCAGGTCTATCTTGGGAATTGTATTCGTGTCGAAGTGCTCAGATCCAATGCGATATTTATTACTTCGAACTCTTTTTGTTATCTTTTCGTTATAGGTTTTCATTTTCTTTTTACATTTGAAAAGGGGTCGGGGGGAGGGGGGAGGGTGGGAGGCAGGAAATGGAACTCATCATAGGGAAGGGTATGTGAAGAGAATAATGGGCAAAGCAAGGCGATCCACAGTAGTTGTACACTGAGTGCACACGTTCAAATTTTAAACTTTGGTCCGAGCAGCTTTCTTGAATCAAGGAATAATTTTATTTACAGCTTACATACAAATGTAAATCACTGATTCTGTAAAATTTCAGTAGCTTTACTGGCTTTTTCACACTTTGCTTATTAATATGTTGGGAATTGATAATTGACCCCCCCCCCCTCCCCCTA